CCTGGAACCCCAACCCCTCCATCTGCCTGGTGGCCGTGGGCATGTGAGTGTCCTGGGACATTCCCACATTCCCAAATTCCCGAATTTCCCTGGGATCATTCCCTGGAACCCCAACCCCTCCATCTGCCTCGTGGCCGTGGCTGTGTGAGTGTCCCATGGGAGCATTCCCACATTCCCACATTCCCAAATTTCCCTGGGAACATTCCCTGGAACCCCAACCCCTCCATCTGCCTGGTGGCCGTGGCCGTGTGAGTGTCCTGGGAGCATTCCCACATTCCCAGATTTCCCTGGAACCCCAACCCCTCTGTCTGCCTGGTGGCCGTGGCCGTGTGAGTGTCCTGGAAGCATTCCCAAATTCCCAAATTTCCCTGGGATCATTCCCTGGAACCCCAACCCCTCCATCTGCCTGGTGGCCCTGGCCGTGTGAGTGCCCTGGGACATTCCCACATTCCCAAATTCCCAGATTTCCCTGGGATCGTTCCCTGGAACCCCAACCCCTCCATCTGCCTGGTGGCCGTGGCCGTGTGAGTGCCCTGGGACATTCCCACATTCCCAAATTTCCCTGGGAACATTCCCACATTCCCAGATTTCCCTGGGATAATTCCCACATTCCCAGATTTCCCTGGAACCCCGACCCAGCATCTGCCTGGTGGCTGTGGCTGTGTGAGCGCCCTGGGATCATTCCCAGGGATCATTCCCAGATTTCCCTGGAATCCCAATCCCATTACCATGTGAGTCCCCAGGGATCCTTCCCCCGGGATCATTCCCCAGGGATCATTCCTGGTTTTTGCTCTGGAGATCCCAGATCCTCTGCCAGAGTTCATTCCGTGCCTGGAGTCTGGAGCAGCCCAATCCTGATCCTGTCCCACAGGAGGGTTCCCTGATCCCGGATTTCCCTGATCCCAGATTCCTTAGGAATGAGCAGCTGTTCCTGGGGGGAATTCCCTGATCCCAGAGGATTTCCCCTGATCCCAGATTTCCCATTCCCATGAGATGTGCAGGTGCTCCTGGGGGGGATTCCCTGATCCCAGAGGATTCCCTGATCCCAGATTTCCCCCTGATCCCGGATTTCCCATTTCCCAGGGACGAGCAGGTGCTGCTGGGCAGGGTTCCCTGATCCCAGATTTCCCCCTGATCCCGGATTTCCCATTTCTCAGGGATGAGCAGGCGCTCCTGGGTGGAATTCCCTGATCCCAGAGGGTTCCTCCTGATCCCAGATTTCCCCCTGATCCTGGATTTCCCATTTCTCAGGGATGAGCAGCTGCTCCTGGGCAGGGTTCCCTGATCCCATGGGATTCCCTGATCCCAGATTTCCCTCTGATCCCAGATTTCCCCCTGATCCTGCGTTCCCCATTCCCCAGGGACGAGCAGGCACTCCTGGCCAGGGTTCCCTGATCCCATGGGATTCCCTGATCCCAGATTTCTCCCTGATCCCAGATTTCTCCCTGATCCCAGATTTTCCATTTCCCAGGGATGAGCAGGTGCTCCTGGGTGGAATTCCCTGATACCATGGGATTCCCTGATCCCAGATTTCTCCCTGATCCCGGATTTCCCATTTCTCAGGGATGAGCAGGTGCTCCTGGCCAGGGTTCCCTGATCCCAGAGGATTCCCCCTGATCCCAGATTTCCCCCTAATCCCACGTTTCCCATTTCGCCATTCCCCAGGGACGAGCAAGTGCTCCTGGGGAGGTTTCCCTGATCCCAGAGGATTCCCCCTGATCCCANGAATGGGGCAGAATTCCCAGTGGGAATGCCCGTGGGGAGGCCCCAGGGATGGAATTCCCACCAGGAATGCAAAAAGGGGCGGCTCCAGGGATGGGATTCCCAAAGGGAATGGGGTGGAATGTCCAAAGGGAATTCTGAAAGGGGAGGCCCCAGGGCTGGAATTCCCAGTGGGAATGCTGGAAGGGGTCTGAGCATTCCCGTTTTTCCAGCCGTCCGTGGATTTCTTCACCCACGAGGTGCGGATCCACCCGGTGACCAACCGGCCCGCGGACAAACGGAGCTTCATCCCCTCCCTGGTGGAGAAGGAAAAGGTGGGAGAGAACCCGGAATTCCGGGAGCAGATCCCGGTGGGAAAGATGAGGAGGGTGGGAAGATCCTGGTGGGATTGGGTGCGTGGAAAATCTCCAGTGGGATCAGGAGATCGGGAGGATCCCGGCGGGATGGGGAGATTGGGAAGATCCTGGTGAGATGAGAAGGGTGGAAAAGGATGAAGAGGATGGAAAAATCCCGATGGGATGGGGAGATTGGAAAGATCTTGGTTGGGTGAAGAGGATGGAAAGATCCAGGTGGGATCAGGAGGATCCATGGAAAGCTGAGGAGGCTGGAACAGCTCCATTGGGATGCGGAGGATGGAAAGATCCAGGTGGGATGGGGAGGATGGAAACACCCAGATGGGATGAGGCGGATGGAAAGATCGTGGTGGGATGGGGAGATTGGAAAGATCCTGGTGGGATCAGGAGGATCCATGGAAAGCTCAGAAGGCTGGAACAGCTCCGGTGGGATGAGGAGATTGGAAAGATCCTGATGGGATGAGATTGGGAAGGTCCTGGTGGGATCAGGAGGATCCATGGAAAGCTGAGGAGGCTGGAAAAGCTCCAGTGGGATGAGGAGATTGGAAAGATCCTGGTGGAATGAGGAGAATGGATAGATCCAGATGGGATGGGGAGATTGCAAAGATCCAGGTGGGATCAGGAGGATCCATGGAAAGCTGAGGAGGATCCAGGTGGGATCAGGAGATTGGAAGGATCCACTTGGGATGAGGAGATTGGGAAGATCCAGGTGGGATCAGGAGGATCCATGGAAAGCTGAGGAGGCTGGAAAAGCTCTGGTGGGATGAGTAGGATGGGAAGATCCAGGTGGGATGGGGTGATTGGAAAGATCGCATTGGAATGAGGAGGGTGGAAAAGCTGTGGTGGGATGAGAAGGTTGGAAAGATCCAGATGGGATGGGGAGGTTGGAAAGATCCAGATGGGATCAGGAGATTGGGAAGATCCTGGTGGGATCAGGAGGGTGGAAAAGCTGAAAAGGATGGAAAGATCCCAATGGATTGAAGGGATTGGAAAGATCCTGGTGGGGTCAGGAGATTGGGAAGATCCTGGTGGGATCAGGAGGGTGGAAAAGCTGGAAAAGGATGGAAAGATCCCGATGGATTGAAGGGATTGGAAAGATCCTGGTGGGATGGGAGATTTGGAAGGTCCAGGTGGGATCAGGAGGGTGGAAAAGCTGAAAAGGATGGAAAGATCCCAATGGGATGAGATTGGAAAGATCCAGGTGGGATGGGGAGGATGGAAAGATCAAGGTGGGATGGGGAGATCGGAAAGATCCCAGTGGAATGAGGAGGGTGGGAAAGCTGTGGTGGGATGGGGAAACCAGAAAGATCCAGGTGGGATCAGGAGATTGGAAAGATCCTGGTTGGATGGGAAGGTTGGAAAGATCCAGATGGGATGGGGAGGATGGAAAGATCCAGGTGGGATCAGGAGGGTGGAAAAGCTGAAGAGGATGGAAAGATCCCAATGGATTGAAGGGATTGGCAAGATCCTGGTGGGGTGGGGAGATTGGAAAAGCTGTGGTGGGATCAGGAGATTGGGAAGATCCAGGTGGGATCAGGAGGATCCGTGGAACGCTGGAAAAGCTCCAGTGGGATGAGGAGGATGGAAAGATCCAGGTGAGATGGGGAGATCAGGAAGATCCTGGTTGGATGAAGAGATGAGAAAGATCCCGGTGGGATGGGGAGATGGGAAAGATCCAGGTGGGATCAGGAGGATCCATGGAAAGCTGAAGAGGCTGGAAAAGCTCCGGTGGGATGGGGAAATGAGAAAGATCCCAGTGGGATGGGGAGGATGGAAAGATCCTGGTGGGATGGGGAAACCAGAAAGATCCAGGTGGGATCGGGAGAATAAAAAGATCCAGGTGGGATGAGGAGGTTGCAAAGACCCAGGTGGGATCAGGAGAATCCATGGAAAGCTGAGGAGGGTGGAAAAGCTCCAGTGGGATGAGGAGATTGGAAAGATCCTGGTGGAATGGGGAGGATGGAAAAGTCCTGGTGGGATCAGGAAATTAGAAAGTTCCAGATGGGATGGGGAAACGAGAAAGATTCCGGTGGGATGAGAAGGTTGGAAAGATCCAGGTGGGATCAGGAGGATCCATGGCAAGCTGAGGAGGATCCAGATGGGATCAGGAGTTTAGAAAGATCCAGGTGGGATCAGGAGGATCCATTGAAAGCTGAGGAGGATCCAGATGGGATCAGGAGTTTGGAAAGATCCAGATGGGATCAGGAGGATCCATGGAAAGCTGAGGAGGGTGGAAAAGCTCCAGTGGGATGAGGAGATTGGAAAGATCCTGATGAGACGAGATTGGGAAGATCCAGGTGGGATCAGGAGGATCCATGGAAAGCTGAGGAGGATCCAGGTGGGATGAGGAGTTTGGAAAGATCCAGGTGGGATCAGGAGGATCCATGGAAAGCTGANCCAGGATCTGGGTGGGATCCGTGTTCTTGGGATCTGGGCGGGATCATCTTCCCTGGGATCCGGGGTGGATTGGCACCCAGCGATCGGCATTCCCAGGATCTGGGTGGGATTCCTGTGCCCCAGCGTTGATCCAGAGGGTCGGGATTTCGGGATCTCACCTGGATCCTGTTCCCATTGCATTCCCAGCCGGTGACGCAGGTGACGTGGCACGGCAAGGGCGACTACTGAACTTCAGTGTTGATCCAGAGGGTCGGGATTTTGGGATCTCACCTGGATCCCAATCCCATTCCATTCCCACCTTGAGGAGCCCTGGGATGATCCAGAGGGTCAGGATTTGGGGATTTTTCCCAGATCTCATTCCCATCTTGAGGATCTCTGGGATGATCCAGAGGGTCAGAATCTCACCCAGATCCCAATCCCATTCCATTCCCAGCTGGTGATGCTGGCACAGCCAGGGGGATTCCTTGGGCCTTGGTGGTGATCCCGAGGGTCAGGATTTTGGGATCTGACCCGGATGCGATTCCTGATCCCATTTCTGATCCCATTCCATTCCCAGCTGGTGACACAGGTCACGTGGCACGGCCAGGGCAATTCCTGGGCCCCGATGTTGATCCAGAGGGTCGGGATTTTGCGATCTCACCTGGATCCCATTCCCAATCCTCTTCCCAATCCCATTTCCATTCCCAGCCGGTGAGGCAGGTGACATGGCACAGCCAGGGTCTCCATGGTGATCAGGGGGTCGGGATTTCAGGATCTGACCCAGATCCCATTCCTGATCCCATTTCTGATCCCAATCCCATTCCCAGCCGGTGACGCAGGCAACGTGGCACAGCCAGGGTCTCCATGGTGATCCAGAGGATCGGGATTTTGGGATCTGACCCAGATCCCAATCCCAATCCCATTGCATTCCCAGCTGGTGACACAGGGGACATGGCATGGCAAGGGCGATTCCTGTGCCCCAGTGGTGATCCAGAGGGTCGGGATTTTGGGATCTCGCTTGGATCCCATTCCTATTCCCAATCCCATTCCCACCCCAAGGAGTCCTGGGATGATCCAGAGGGTCAGGATCTCCCCTTCCTTTCCCATTCCCATTCCCAGCCGGTGACACAGGTGACGTGGCACGGCATGGGTGACTACTGGGTGTTGGTGTTGATCCAGAGGGTCGGGATTTTGGGATCTCACCTGGATTCCAATGCTGTTCCCACCTTGAGGAGCTCTGGGATGATCCAGAGGGTCGGAATCTCAAGATCTCACCCAGATCCCAATCCCATTGTTGTTCCTGTTCCCATTGCCATCTTGAGGAGCTCTGGGATGATCCAGAGGGTCGGGATTTTGGGATGTCACCCATATCCCAATCCCATTGCATTCCCAGCTGGTGACGCAGGTGACATGGCACAGCCAGGGTCTCCATGGTGATCCAGAGGGTCGGGATTTTGGGATCTCACCCAGATCCCGTTCCTGATCCCGTTCCTTTCTCATTCCCATTCCCAGCCGGTGACGCAGGTGACGTGGCACGGCAAGGGCGACTACTGAACTTTAGTGGTGAGCCAGAGGGTCGGGATTTTGGGATCTCACCTGCATCCCATTCCTGATCCCATTCCTTTCTCTGTCCCGTTCCCAGCCGGTGACGCA